GCAGTCCTCACCTACATTAACTACACACACACACACACACACACACACACACACACACACACACACACACACACAGTCACTACAGCAGGGAAGACCGAGGTCCCTGTGTGGTTGTGTTAATGATGAGAACAGGTTTTAAACTCTTACAGCTGATTTTAATGAACAGAATTCTGTTTAACATTTTTACAACCAAAACAACAAAACTAAAATTAGAGAAACAGACGTGTCAGTTCTGCAGTACAGACTCTCAAACAACAACAGGACCCAATATCACCACAATAACATTCGACTGTGATACTTAAAGGGCTTGTGCTAAGCTCAGTATTGCGACTTAACTTACTGTGATTTATGACTGTTTTATGCAATTTATTGATGGGAAAGTCACCAACGTTCACTAATCTGTGCTGACAGTTCAGCTGATTTTGGAGCAGAAGAGTCTGTAAGTGTTCTTGCTGAATCTGTTCACAGGTGCAGAAACACTGCAGGCTGTGTAGATCAGACTCGCTTCACTCCTTTCACTTCAGCTTGTGTTTTTAAAAATCCTCTCTTTTTATTTATTCTTTCATTTTGGGTTTATTTACCCCAATTTAGTCGTCGATGGGGATCCATACTGCCCACCCAGAGAGAGAGAGGACCACTGACGGGCCAAGGACGGCTGGAGCTTCACTGGGGACTGAACTTGTGATCTCCTGAAAATAGAGCCAACGCTCAGACAGTCGAGCCACTCGAGAGCCAGCTTCTCTTTTACTGACCTCTATAGCTGCTTCCTCACCTCTCACTCACTGTCCACCTTAGACTCAGCCTCTCAGCTGATCGGGGGTCAGGAGTTACGACGCTGCTGCAGTTCTGAATCCTCAATAGGCCGGTCCTCCACGGACCACCACTGCTAACTTGCTAATGGCTTAGAGCTTAAGGCTCTGGGAGGAACTCAGGCTTGTGAAGTTTGGTTCTGCATTATGTTCATCAGTGTTCGTACACACCGCGTTTTCTCTGTACGCGGCACACCCTGACCCGCAGCGTCTGTACAGTGACTGTTCAGGACGAAAACTCGTACCGTTAACAGGCACAGATCGAGGTGTCAAAGCAGGCAGGTTTAAAACAGGACTAATCTGATTCCTGTCATATCCAGAATGGATCCTGATTGATTTTTGACAGTTTGGACAGAAAAAAAACACATGAAATCTGATTTTTGCTAATTTGCTGCGTTCAGACTGCAGGCAAATCGGATTTGTTCCTCAAATCAAATCTTTTGAGAATTTTAAAGACTTTTTTCCTCCAATCAAGGTGAAGCAGGCTCGATCTGGTAACCGACACATTTAAGTGACGTCTTCACAAACGAGTTGGCATATTTGAGATATTAGCATTAGCACAAATATCTGAAGTCTGAACTATTGCTTTAATTGGCTGAACTACTGCTTTAATTGCCTACATATATATATATATATATATATATATATATATAAAACACATGCTGTTATGCTTTTTGCACTAATTAGGCATTTAACGAGCTGATGAGTCTGATCAGGTGTGTCTGAGCAGGTAAAGCTCTAAAGAGCCGAGCAGGTGGATTTAATTACAGAGACACTAAATTATGGGCAAACGCAATTAAATGAAGAACAGCAGAAGTAAAAGTGTAATAATGACTGCAGTATAAATCAAATGAGAGGCAGAAGTACGAAAGTAGCAGCTCATAAAAACACTTAAGTTCTAGCTAACTTATAGTGCTGCAGTGGAACATCCTGATTAAAGACTAACACCTCCATATTCAGGCCTGTGTGTGAGTAAGACAGCAGTGTGTGGTGTCGTGTGTGTGGACTCACAGCGCTGCATCTGTTTGCTGAATTCGGACATGTTATCGGGGCGGATGGAGCGCAGGAACTTGATGTAGTCGTCACTGTGGTACTTCGTCATCTCCTCCGCTGTGGCTTTATGAGGACGCTGGAACATCACAGTCACACAATCAATAAACATGCACTTTTATATCAGCCTCTTTATATCAGCCTGCACTGACAACCTTCACGTTCACCCTTACACTCATTTACACACATTAATACACATTTACACACGTTTATACACGTTTATACACATTAATACACATTTACACACGTTTATACACATTAATACACATTAATACACATTTACACACGTTTATACACGTTTATACACATTAATACACATTTACACACGTTTATACACATTAATACACATTAATACACATTTACACATGTTTATACATGTTTATACACATTAATACACATTAATACTCATTTACACACATTAATACACATTTATAGACACGTATATGAGGTTGCAGCGATACTGATACCGTATCCGTATCAGCGATAGAGATACTGATACCAATGACCACAGAGTAATTTCTGATTGACAACACGTCGGCAATGTGAGTCGACCAGCAGTAGTAAAAATGCTCAGGCCAAAATCTGTAACAGCAGTATTTCATAAAAAAGCAGCAGCAGTGGGTGATATAGCGTTAGTGCAGGTTGTTATACAGTGTTAATAACATTAGCTTTAGCTCCTTTAGCTGAATGTGTGAGGGAGGGATGTTTCAGTGTTATACAGTGTTAATAACACTAGCTTTAGCTCCTTTAGCTGAATGTGTGAGTGAGGGATGTTTGTGTTATACAGTGTTAATAACAGTAGCTTTAGTTTCTTTAGCTGAATGTGTAGGTGAAGGATGTTTCAGTGTTATAACAGTGTTAATAACACTAGCTTTATCCCCTTTAGCTGAATGAGAGTGAGGGATGCTGCAGTGATCACTCGTCTCCTGCTGTGTAGCTACAGTCTGAGTTAATGTTAACGCAGGTTGTTATTGAGGGAGTGAACGTTACAGAGACGTATAAAATCAGCGCTCTAATTTGGGGTAATAATAGCCTTTAGCCTTGATTTAGCCGTCAGCATAGCAGCCTGCTAGCTGGGCCTGTGTATCCACATGTCCTGCCTGCGGTGCACCTCCGTCGGTCTCGCAGCCTGTTGCTTCAACAAAGCCGAAAAATTTGCTGAGAAGGTGTCGGGGTGCTGAAATTTTAAGCAGCGTATATGTGACATGAACGATGACGTCATGAAAAAAATAGCTTTTTCCCTTTTATTTAAATGTTTTTGACACTTTAAATCAAACAGAGTCAGTCATGCTCACTATAATGAGGCGAGAGACGACAATCTATACATGTAACTAACTGATCAGAGCGCTGATACACATCCTCTCTCAGCTCCCTCATTCTGGGCCAAATATAAGCAAATGAGCTGAGAGACCACCCATCAGATTGTTGATGCGTGGCACAGTAACAGGCTGTGCCTGTGATGCAGTGAGATTTAACCCTGGAGCTCACAGTGAGTGGGAGATACATGTAGTTTATAAAAGGTTATTATTGCGTTAGATGATTTTTTAAAAGCTCAGAAACAGTTTTGGTGGCTGTGGGAGTCAGAACTGGCCTCTATGTCTCAACTTCCTCTCTTTAAACCATAGCCTGTGTGTATTTTAGCAACACCCCCTAAAGCGGCCGAGGTTGTGGAGGGAAGTGATTCAGCTCACTGAAATAAAAACACAGCGTTAAACAGTTCGACTACTGCAGGTTTAGAAAACATTCAAAAAACAGACGAACACAAACTCCTCTGAAACAAGCACACGCGAGTCTCTGCTGCACTCAAAGCATTAATCAGTTCAGATCTCCATTATTACTGTTTTAATAGATGCAGTCCTGAGCCAGAGAAGCTGCTGTGCTGATGTGTAAACACCACAGGTTTATCTGAACACTGTTCAGCTCTGTTTACTTCAGTTGTTAAATATGATTTCATCACTAATTATATATTAGTCAATTCCAAATATATATAATAAATAAACAAAAATAGGCCAATCTTAAGCATCTGAAACATCACTGCCATTCATTCAAGCTTGATATGTTTCATTAGTGACACAGATAAAAGCCTTTACCAAAATAAAGTATTAAAGGAGTGAAACTGTGTATATATCAGGACTTTATGGGCTGCTTAGATAAACAGAATTAGTATTGGTATCAGTACTCAGTATTGGCCGATACTCAATGATCAGGTATCAGTATAAGGAGGGAATAAGTGGTATCGGTGGTATCACACACATTTACACAGGGCTGAAAGATTTGGGGAAAATATCTAATTGTGATTTTTCTGACTAATATTGTGATTTAAATTATTTTAATTTTTTTTTATTATTTTCTATAAATTGTGCTTCAGAACTGTTTTTTTGACCATGAAGACCAGAATATTCACTTTTTAAGGTGTGGTGTGGCCGCCTGCCAGTAAGTCATGGTTGTGAAGTCACAAAACATTTTGGTTGAGTTTGGTTGCCTCTGATTGGTCTAGTTTATCTACAGGCAGTTCAGAAGCTCTGAGTTATAAAGTTTAATTTCCCTTCTTAAAACTTAACACAGGGTTTTAATAATTTGGGCTACAATTGTAAAAAAATGCTCTTGCAATTTAAAAATTGCGGTATCTTAAATTGCGATATAAAAACTTAAAAAATAAAAAATCTTTCAGCCCCACATTTACATATTTTACATATTTATTCAGCAAATATGTTTGCATTGTAATTTATCACGTTTATTATCACTGCCAACAAAATTCCCTCAAACAAACAATCAAATCTATATATTTGCTAATTTTATGTCGTTTTCCGTTGCGTCTTTTTATTTATTACGTCAAAATACAAAGTAGCCTGTGTGCAACAAACTCACGTAGATCTCCATCTTGCGGTAGAGGCCGTAGTTCAGCAGGAGGTTGTGGGTCATGCGGATCCGGTGGGGTTTCATTGGGTGACCCTGACCGTAGTAATAATTTCCAATATCACCTGAAATAGCAAAATCAGAAGCACGTTACCATGACGATATCAATAACTCTGGGGCTAAAAACGTACAGCCTGGCTGGTCGGCTGCATTTGGGGCAGATCTCTGATTAACTGAACTTCTAATTAAGGTTTTTAACGAGCTGAGTTTAATCAGGTGTGTCTGAGCAGGTAAAGCTCTAAAGGAGAGCAGAGCAGGTGGATTTAATTACAGAGACACTAAAATATGAACAAAATCATTTAGTAAAAGTGTAATAATGACGTAAGTAAACGTTCTAGCTAACTTAAAGAGCTGCAGTGGAACCAATTAGAACATCCAGCATCAAACAGCATAGGAACCGAAACTGGCTTCTTATTCGAATTACCCGTTCCACCTTAAATGGTGCAGCTGTTACATTACATACGTCGCGCGCCAGAACGTAACAGCTAAACCATTTAAGGTGGAACGGGAAATTCGAGGAACTTAAGAAAGAACTTGAGTGTGTTCTTTTCTTTTATTAACTTTTTGGAACATTTTGGTCTAAAATAAAATGATAAAGCTCAAAAGTGTGTGTGTGTGTGTGTGTGTGAGAGAGAGAGAGAGAGAGAGAGAGAGAGAGAGAGAGAGAGAGAGAGAGATGCAGTCACACAATGAGACACAAAGCGCAGCCGCCGTTAGCTTTAGCCTCAATGCTAACAGAGCCCAAATGCCACAAAGCTGCTCCTGCTGTACGATTTAAACCCCCGTATTATATTAAATACCCCTTTTCCCCTCTCTAACCCCATAACCCCGTTACTCTCTGCCCCGGGCCGGGCTCGGTGGCCCCTCTCCCGGGCTGAGGTCCTCCCTCTCCCCTCTACTCTCTCCCTCTCTCCCCGCAGGCCCGCAGCGCCGCGACCCGCTCCGTCTTACCGTCATAGTAATAACAGACTTTCTTCTTGCTGCCCTGCAGAGTGAACGCCATGCTGAGCACACCGGGCGGACCGGACCGCGGCCAGCTAAACCGCAACAAAACCAAATTAATCAAATAAATAAAGCAGAAGTGGCGGACAGACGGACACGGAGCCGAGCAGCAGCACGGAGACGGAGAGGACGGGGGCTATGCTAATCAGGGGGCGGAGTAACGCTCACCGATAGGCTGCTGTTTTATTAGCACGACAGTTCATTTACATCCGTTTATTTATTTTACGGCATTTAACATATAATATTTTAATACTTAGATAGAAACACAGACAGACAGACAGATACACAGAGAGACAGACTGATAGAGAGACAGATAGATCGATAGACAAACAGACAGACAACAAATAAATAGACAGATAGATCGATAGACAGACAGACAGACAGACAGATAGATAGATAGATAGATAGAAAGACAGACACAGACAGACAGACAAACATACAGATAGATAAACAGATAAATAGATAGATAGATAGACAGATAGAAAGACAGACACAGACAGACAGACAGATAGATAGACAGACACAGACAGACAGACAGATAGATAGACAGACAGATTCATATCTAGGTGTATATATTTAATTCCACTGTAATGGATGTTTTAATAATACAGCCATTCTATTTAAATAACTGGCTCTTATTATTTCAGATTTTCCACTATTTTCCATCATCAACATTCCATATAAACTCAGAAGACTCGTGTAGGTTCACTGGTGGTTCTGGATAGTAAATAAAATGTCTATATCTGTGTTGTAGTCATGGCGACCCCTGGTTCCTATCACCACCACTGTAAAGACATCTGAACCATTTCACACCAAACCACTCTGAATCTCTCTGATTACACCTCACACACTGAATTATGGGGGGATTTTGAAAAATCAGTGACATTTCTTCACTCCACTGTGCTCTATAATGTTCATATGATCCACACAGTCACTCTGACAGACTGTAATACACTACAGGAAGTGTAGGGGGCGATATGGCTTCTACTGTTTCATTTAAAAAGCCTCTATAATGTTCATATGATCCACACAGTCACTCTGACAGACTGTAATACACTACAGGAAGTGTAGGGGGCGATATGGCTTCTACTGTTTCATTTAAAAAGCTCTATAATGTTCACATGATCCACACAGTCACTCTGACAGACTGTAATACACTACAGGAAGTGTAGGGGGCGATATGGCTTCTACTGTTTCATTTAAAAAGCCTCTATAATGTTCATATGATCCACACAGTCACTCTGACAGACTGTAATACACTACAGGAAGTGTAGGGGGCGATATGGCTTCTACTGTTTCATTTAAAAAGCTCTATAACATTCATATGATCATTCTGACAGATTGCGTGTTTCACCAGTGAACAGATGAATTGATTATGGAAAAAAAACACCTTCAGTTTTAAATCAGAAAGAGACTCTAACTGAATCACTGAACTGTCCTGTGTGATGAGAGAGGTTCATTGATCTGAATGATTTCTTATTGATCACAGTCAGGAGAGCCATCAGATACAGTGAACCTCATTACTGCAACATCATCAACGAGTGATTAGACACTAATTCATTCACATTTGGTCACAATTCCATTTTATATCTCTCAGCATTTTAGTAAAGTTAACATTTCGGAGTTGTTGATCTGCTCGTGATCAGCCGTACGTCCAGCTGTTCTGATAAAACATCTGGCTGAACAGGTGGAAGCACATTAGACTGTCCAGCACAGCTGGGTGATTTAATTAACAGGCATTTCTTATTAATCACAATCAGGAACTTCTTCAAATACATTGTTCCCAAATCAGTAAACAGTTGTTTACATACATCGAATGTATCCTGCGTTTTTTAAGGTTTTGTTTTACAACTTTTAACACTAATTTCTTTCAACCTTTCTGTCAATTTTACAAGCATAAATTATGTATTTAGTAAAAAATTAGTTATATTTCCCAGACCAGGTGATGTTTCTTCTGTCTATGTTTGTGGTAAGCAGCAGAGCCCTGCCCTACTGCCCCCTAGTGGACAAAACACCCCTGTTTCCTCCCTCACGGCCAGTCGAACTTCCTCCCAGTGATCTGGTAAAATTTCTGGTTGAACGGGTGGTAAAAGTGCCTGAGTTTGTCCAGCACGGCCGGATCCACATTCGGGTGCGTCCGGCCCTTGCTGCCCGCCAGGCACTTGCTGAAGCGGCGGCTGAAGCGCAGGCAGTAGAAGCCCCGTGTGGAGTTGAAGTACAGGTTGTCCTGGCTGATCCCGGGCGGAAGGTTCAAGAAGCGCTCAGCTAGGCGAAGCTCGGGCAGCGGGTCCGTAATCAGCCTGTCTCCGTCCACCACGTGGAACTGCTGGACGGGGAAAAACTCCAGCCAGTGCTCCAGGTGCTTGGCGTAGATGCTGGTGCGGACGGCCTTGTACTTGGTGTTCACCTCTCGGGTGCTGGAGTCGATGGCCAGCGTCTCAAAGCTATGATATGTTTTGTTCTTGTGCTCTTTTCCCTCCAGAACCTGCAGCAGTGACGGGAGAAACAAGGTTGTCTGTGAGATCGGACGGGCAGATGGTCACCATCATGAAATTCTATTTGATTAATTGCTGTATAAGAAATTGCAAATAATGTCTTTCTCAGAAAAACAATGAAGTTATTTTAGAGTAAAAAGCCAAAGTGTCCAGTTTAGCTTCTTGCCAATACTTAGTAGCTCCAACTGATAACAAACACAGTTAGAACTCAAATAAACAAACACGACTCTCCACTGCCCTCTAGTGTTACAGCACCAGTCTACAGTTAAAACTGTTATTGTTTTTGTAAGAACTGTAACGTCTTATTAAATGTGTTTTCTGCTTTTCTGTATTTACTGATGAAAAGCACTCAATTAAATTCTGTTTGCTACGACGTAAACATATAATCATGAAAGCTAACAACTGTGAAAAATAATCTTTATGCAATAATTGTGACAGGCCAAAAATATAAACAAAATGAGTCTGTCACAAGCATGTAAGCCTTACATTTAAACCAGCCTGTTACGCTGACTGGAGATCAGTAGCTGCTGTACGTTTCACACAATATCACATTCAGCCTGCCCCCTAGTGATGGACCACCACTGTTTTGAAATATATTAAGGCTATATTCACTAAAGTCATGTGACTTGGCCAGGTTTACAGGCACCTCCAAACACAGCAGTGCTGGAAAGGATTCAAACATTCTGAAAGACTGTTTTGAGTCCATCTCTACCTGCGTATAGTCAGAGATGGCGCGGGTCGTTGGCTCACGCACGATGACCAGCAGCTTTACGGACGAGTTCATCCTGAAAATCCGCTCGGGGACCTTCTCTGTCACAAAGTAGGCGGGGCTTTTCTCGATGGTGATTTGGCCGGGAAGGGAGAAGGGCATTCTGTGGCGGTACCAGGCCATGCCCCTGCCATAATTGTGGTCACTGTCGAAGAAGTGGACTTCCTGCGAGGCCTTGACCACGGCAGGATGGAGGTTCAGCATCTCCAGCAGGGCACGTGTGCCACCCTTCCGGACCCCGATGATGATGGCGTGCGGTAGCTGCTGGATCAGGCGCCCTCTAGTGGCGTTGCTCCTGCGCAGCTTGTGCAGGAGACCCCGTTTATACTGCAGAGGCCGGAAAGGGAACTGCACCAGAACACCAGCAGGGGGTGGTCTGCTCTCGACCGGGCACATGGGCTGCAGCCTAGAGAGACATTAATGTTTACACCGGTCCTCCGCAAGTCCACAGTCAAAAGCTGTAACTGAAATGGATCTTTATCTGTGTTTCTACTACATACTTCAGTTTTCTTAATTTGTTCCGACTGTAAAATGGAATTCAGTGCATCTAATGTTCATTAACATTAAGGGTGGCTGCTGAAAACAAAACTTATCAGACTCTCTTGACTGGAGAAAATCAGCAGCTCTGTACAATTAAAAACAAAGACCTTCACACGTTTACCGCTCCTCATACAGCGCCAAGAAAACCGCAGACAAGAAATAAACGTGTGGCTGAGTCACATTCCTGCTTCTCATCCTCCGCACTTTTCAAACTGCTGTGGGTCTGAAAGGATGTGTAACTGTTAAGAATCTCCCTGAGAAAAGGAGACGGACACACCAAACAAAGAAGCTGAACGATGGACTGACCACCCCAGAGTCCAGACCTCAACACCACTGAATGTGTTTGATTACTTCAGAAAAACATCAACCAGCTTCTAAGACTGAACTTTGGAGGTGTGTCTGCAGATTCTTTGAGGAAC